GTGCAGGTAATTTTTCCTGGGTTCTATGGCAGTTTATTTACCAGTCTGCAACTTAACCTCAAGCGCCCAAATTCATTCACTCGCTCAACCTCATCACCCACGACACACAAATTCCCCCAAATAATTTAAAGCACAAGCTTAAATTCTCTAATCCCAAAGGAAACCATTAAAAATCCTCTGCTGTTGGATTGACCAACTTAAGGATCATGTTCAGTGCCATATTAATGATTAAATTTAAAGTGGTCACATCATGCAATTAAAAAGCCACAGCGACAACAAAACCAAGGACAGAAAACACGATAGTCCCATTAGAAGTTAATTAGCTCCGATATATGGCAGCATCCCCAGGGAATTGGCGCCCATACACCAGACATTATGATTGGAGGTATGGGCAAAATACAATTTTTTGTTTATCCCTGTTAAACATACATTTGCCTCCAGACCCCCAGGCGACTTGATACCCCACTTAGTGTTTTGCTTAAGGCTCAGTCATGGATCAGATTGAAATGGGAAATGAGGTGGATTTTTTTTCTTTTGTGGGACTCCTTGCAGTACTATGACAGTCATTTTGAAGCCAAATTATAGCTTTAAATTTATGTGATTTTCGCAGTAAGTCATCTTGTCACAGCAAATCACATGGTCCCTTTTTATTTCGGAGAAATATAGCCTGGCCGACCCCTTGTCTTAATTTTCGATGCTGCAATTAAATGACGATCAAATACTTTTAGATGATTTACATGTTGGTGGAGCGTGTTTTTCTTTATTTTGCATGTAGGATAATAATTATGTCATTGCTCTGGAATTCGTAATCCGTTTGTATAATTACGATAATAAGGAAAGTTGGTTGCTGTCAGTCGCCCTCCTATGTATATCTAAGACATGACGGAAACAATTGGAGGGCGCTATTTACTTTGGGTGTACTCTTTTGCATGCGACACGCACCATTGGACGCTTCTGTACTAAAATAAAATCCAAATAGCGCCCTCATGAGTCCTTTGTATCTAAAGTGCATGTTCTTCGGCTCCACAGAAGTAATGCAATTTGTAACATAAACAAAAAACGTCATTTGCCCTCGTGAATGCAGCTCCCCCTTCTAACCAAAAAACAACAAAACAATAACAACATCAAACAAATAAATTTATCATAACCAATTTAAATGGGTCCTGCTCTGACAAAATTGCCGTAACTTCTTTAAAAAAGCCCAAAAAGTATGATTTTCTCGGATTTTAGGAATTAAACCCGATGTAGAACAAAAGGAAATTCCAATTGATTTTTTTTTCCACGTGTTAGATGTCTTTGCCATTCCTTGACTGGTGTTGTTTCCCTCCAATCTATCTAACCTAACCGTTTCGAGATAAATGTTAATTCCTACCTTCAGTTTTCCTGAGTAGGCCTAATTAATCTTCGCTGAATTTCTCTCGTATGATTACGCAAAACACTGTATAGCCTGTACACGGAGTGGCTTTTGGCCCAATTGTTCAGGACGAATATGCATTACAAAAAAAGTCATAATCTTTCATACAAAATGGCGTCGGCGGTGTGATTCGGGAATTCTATTAGGGGGATCGCTCCAACAATCATCGTATACTCCTTCCTTTAACCCACACAAAATAAAATAGAAAGAGTGGTGAGGGAGAGCTGAGCAACATTTGACACTTTAAGGTGATGCTTAATATATTAGTATGCAATGTACAGAGGGCACCTTTCTCTTCAACTTTATATCGTCATGTTTGCAGAACGAAGCAGCGATGATTGGCACTTTTGGGGAGTTCGGCACAAAGATCTCTGGGGTTGCAATCCCATACGGCTCAGCCCCTGGTCAATCGAGGGAGGGTATATCCCTTCCTACCCCTTACCCGTCCCCTTCCTCCAGTGGCGTAATGTTTGACGGCGAGTGGGGGGGGGGGGGGGGGGAGGGAGGGGGATGATCAAAAACCAAAAGTTGCCCGGCCGTGGAAATTCGAAAAAGTGTGTGTGGTGGGAGGGGGCGGGGGGGGGGGGGGCCTGGACACCACATTATACTATAGGGGCGCTCTTCAGGATATAAATGTATAACAATATGTGTATTCGCGCTTACATCAAAACGGCGCACTTTCGACAAATACCTCGAAATCCGCAATTTTTTTCTCATCACGGAAAGTGGGGGGGGGGGGGGTTTATTCAATAGCCCATCCCCCCGGTCAAAACGTGTGGGGATATATACCCCACCCCCTCCCTCTGGATTTACGCCCCTGCTCTTCTCTGATCTAAGTCAATGACTTCTGAGTAGTGCACTTTTTCCATAGTTTTTCTCATATCGATGGTTCGGCAGTATTCCTGTTTTAAGAGGATTGTCATGTGCTATCTTCAGTTTGGCCTGAGTATCTACTCTTCTTTTAATTTCTCTTGTAGCCATGTTTCTGGAGTGGCTTTTAAGCCTTGCAAGGGCCGGGCGAAAATGCATTAAAAAGGCAGATTCATCTGCTATTGGTCAAAATATCTATGCATTGTGCGAGTAGCGCCCTCAATATTGCCGTATGATCTCGATATATGTTTTTCTCCTTCCACGTTCAGTTTGGTCTTGCCAGTCTCATGAGTTTGTTTAAACAAAATATTCAAAATAGTCTTTTTGATATAGCGAATCTGAAAATACCCACAGAAAAAAATGTAGACCTTCCTCGCTATAATAATGCTTATTGCAGTAGCTCACAGGTGCTGCTTGACTTGAATGTTGTGCGGACATAATGCGATACAAACTGTACATGACTAATATTTAAAGTGTGACAAATTGTTGAACTCATGCTCCAGTTGACTCAGCCCAGAGAATTGTTTTAAGCAAACATACATTACTCATGGAACAGCAACCACTGAACATCAACGAATTAGTATTTATAACTTGAATGAAATGTTATATGTTGTACCATCACGCATTCACCACCAGTGTACAAAGCCTAACCGAAGACCCCGAATGTCATAACCTGAATAATAAATAGCGCATATTCGAACCAGCCAACCGATCCCGTTGGCTCGGTGGTCGAGTGGTAAAACATCTGCACTAGAAAGCAGGAGGTCGTGGGTTCGAGTCCCACCCGAGTGATTTTTTCCAACTTTCACTCGGGAGGTAACACACTGAGTATACAGTGTTTAAACGTCGGTGCAGGGCAAAACCTAATTTGATTTATATAACCCCGACGCAAATTCAATCTTATAATAGCATATGCCCTTTGCTGTGAACATTTTGGTGATTTACGCGCTATTGCATGAGGGCATATGCACATAGGCCCCTCTGCCAGGCACAGGACGAGTTAATGACATTCAAGCCAACAATCTGGGGGCGCTGTTCCATTGTAATTACCGAACTATCGCCGTTTGCGAGTTAGCCACGCTCCTTAGACAACCCTATGGAATTGTTTACGTTAAGTTTTGATTGCCTCAGATTTTTCGCGATTCTACCGCCATAGGTTAATACATTGTCAAGGCAGGATGCCCTAATCTACTCTTCTCATAACAACTCACAAATAAACGTTATCGATATTTTCAATTCATCTCGGGTATGGATATCGGATGTGGACAAACCTACGGGGCTGTGAACAAAGGTAGCACTTTCATATTGGATCCTAACCTCCGGAATACTGTATATTTCAATAATTTAAGGAACAACTTTTCACTCGTTGCATTGGTAATTTGAAATATAATTTCGAAACAAATCGTATTACAGCTTATCATAATGAAAAAAAAAAAAAATACCAGTTTTTTTTCTCCGGTGCCGGTACCCTATGTATAAGATGAATGGTACGAAACCGTCTTTTATATTATTTAAGAATGAGTCAAACGGTACTATAAATTAGAAACTTTATTGTTATTGCAAACCGCAAATTTACTAATGTTAAAGTGAAAATGGATCCTTCTCTCTTTTATGTCTACTCTTATTGTAAAACGAAAGAGAAAAGTTTGTTTTACATAAATGCAACTTCCCCAGGGGAAAAATACCAGTTTCATTATTCGTGAATATGATTATCATGACTGTCCCAATTAACCAATCAGAATCAAAGTTTCAATCTCATTCCTTTAACAATGTCCAATCACAATCGTTCCTCTTGGCCTTATGACTGGTACCCAGAAACACATATTTATAGATTATACATTTCATAATATAATTTATATCAAGGTCAACAATTGAGATTTACATAAAAAGTATATTAATAGTCTATTCATAAGTGAGTTACTGATCAATATTGGAAAAAAAATACTGAAGATAATTCTTTGCTTGACTGGTTCACTGCCGACATAAATTTGTGTATTATGTACAACATTTTTTTTGGTCATCCATACCGGTGGTGCAGTGCACATGTTATTATTAGACAATACTGTCAACGTTTATAGCGCCAGAAACGAATTCAGGAAATTGTATTTCTCTAAGTCATTATGCATAATTGCCTCAACTGGGGAATCAATACTTGTCTAGTGTAATTGCCGCATTGGGAATGGATGGTGTCCCATGATGCGCAATTCTCTCTGCCGCTACTGACGTTCGGCGCCTGAAAGCACACCGTCATGACGAAGACACATGACATCGGTGTTTTGGGATCTACGGTTATATTTTCTTCAAAAGCGTCATAAAGGTCTGCGGCGTGGTGCGAACTCCCTATCTGAGCTGAAGTCTGTCTGATACGCAAAACCTTCAATTCATTTGTTTCTCTGACCAAGGGAAATCTGTTGGGGTCGATATTTGAGCAACTTGACTACCACCACTTTTTAAACGACCTTTTGAGCCGGAATGATGAGTACATCTTTGTGGGTCTCTGAATGCAAAGCTCCTTCAGTAGCCTAATCAGGCGATTTGAAGACCCATACTAGCTAAAGAATACAGTCGAGTGAAGGGCATCGGCGTTCATTTAGCTCAACTTGAAACAATGAATTCGTCACAGATTACAAACTGCACTCACTGCTCTGACGACGACGGCGCCGTGAGTGCAGGGGATACGGGGCATATTTTCCGTGTCATTTTCCCATTATTGGTGATGATAATAGGCGTGCCAGGTAACTGCCTCATCCTCCGTGTGTACTGGAGCAAGCCGCGGAAGACCACAACCAACCTGCTGATCATGGGACTGGCGGGAGCCGACCTCGCCACCTGCTTATTTACCGTTTACTTCATAGGCCCGAGCCTGACTGTTCTTCTCGGAGAACAGCCGTCGGAGGTGTTCCGATATGTAAGATATATCCTTTTCTCAGCGGTTTCATCTTCAGTGTTGATTACCACTGTCATTGCCCTTGATAGGTACGATTGTGTCTGCCGACCGCACAGGAGACTACTGAACCAAAAAAAGACGCTGACGGTTGTTCTGTGTCTAATTAGTTTTGCCCTGGCAATGAACGTACCGTACATTGGTATTGCAGCTGATTACACCAACGCAGTACAATACACTTTCGTTGTTCGGTCTATTCACACTTTGTCGTACATCGTGACCTTAACAGTGATAACGGTGTGCTATTGGAAAGTCTATAAAACAATCAGAAAACACGTGAAAGTAGACATTGTGCATACGCCACAAAACATTGAACTTAACTTGATGGGGGCGCTAACGATCTCTTCAGGGAAGCAAAATCAGAACAACATAACTTTACTGGAATCGATCACCGGTACAGATGCTGCGACGTCGAGCGCACCATTTCAAAGTAAGCCAGAGTCGCAGCATTACCATACCAGCGAATCAGACCAAAACAGGACCGTCTCTACTGAGCAAGCCGGTACCGATAACACGGAATCGAGAGGGAGACGGGCTGGCGTCCATCGTAAGCTGTCCAACACCACAGCCTTACAGCGCAAGACAACCAGGATGCTTCTGCTGGCCAGTCTGGTGCTTCTGATCTCGTGGCTGCCGTACTGGTTCTATCTTGTGTTGGTGTTTGCCAAGTACCTCGGGGAAGACATACCCGATCATGTCATTAATGGTTTTTACCACAGCTCCGTAGTGCTGTACCTGAACCACGCAGTCAATCCGCTCATTTACGGCCTGGCCAACAGGCGATTCAGACAGGACTGTCAGCGGGCTTTGTCGAATCTGAGCTGTTGGCGGAACAACTGGTTCCAAAGGCAACAATGAATTGATGATTTATATTGATACGTTAACTGAACGCTGACCGAAATCCGGCAAACCCAAACATTACAGTCCGGAGTGAGCTACACATTATAATAGTGAGCAATGATTGTGTAATGACAGTGGAAGTCAGATAAAAGTGAAAACAACACCCAGACTGCACGTGCACTGACATAAAGTCCTGACACGTCGACCAGGGCCATTAAGCCAGGGGATGGTGGGTTTGGTAGATATTATAACCCCCTCCCCAGTTTGGGCTGAGATATACATATTAAACGAATTATTTTGAATTAACATCAAATCATACAAGTTTCTTTCAAGAACAGCGCCACCTTGGTCAAACATAGTGTGCCCCCCCCCCTCAATTTTTGGTGTGTAAAGTTTCGGGGTAGATTCAAGGTTTTGCCATCCTCCAAAAGTTGTCGACACAAATTAATGGCCTTACCATGAGCACTTTATAAGTGTCAAGCGAATGTGATATAACTTAATAATTATATCTCCCAGAAAATTAGGGAGAGCTAGCCAATTATGAGAACTCTTGCGATGAGGGTTGCAACTGTACTTCGTTTTTAATAGTTCATGTAACTCTTTACAGGCATTAAGTGGCGCAAAGATACTAAGACGTTATCGATCATTACTTTTATTCAAAGGTGTTAAACAAATAAAATCGACACGGTAGAGTATAAGCTATGTTTTAATACAGGCCTACCGTAGTCTAATCGACTTGTCGGTTATTCCAATGTACACCAAGGAAAACATGGGAAAAGACAAATCAAAAGGTTATGTGGATCAATCATTCAGGACTCGGACTAGGAATCCTACTCAATGAACTAATTACCTACATGTACTTTCATGTTCGACCCCTTTGGGCTCTCAAGTTTCCCGGCCGACCCACCACATCTCCTTCCCTGCCCATCCATAATTACCTAGGCCAATCACCAAAAAAGAAGGCAACGAGGCGGCGCCCTAAGCCTTAGCTGCCGAGATCAGCAAAACGAGCCTCCTATATACCTTTACGAAGATGCTAACCTGGACTTTGCGGTCAGTCCCAAAAAGTAAAGCTTACCGATCATGCCAATTACTGCTGGTAATTTATGACGGTGACTATTGTAGTAAGTGACTAAACACGTACGTCGAAAACAAAACAAGAAACATGGAAATTATACCCGGGTCCCAAGATCTGTTGTTAACTAACCTTACCTCTTAGCCATTTGAATACTATTAAAGGTCTCTTCAAACTAAAAAGCTAATATACATGTACAGGGACATGTGGTGGATTGTTTGCTCCATCTGCTTCATCTCCATGTATGGACAAAATAGGGGTTGCCCGTCTACTAATAGTTGAACAGACTTGCTGCAGCGGGAGGTATGTGTCAGTCGGACTGAGGTACCCGGCCAGCCGATAGATCCCCAAAGATCACAGGCAATAATTGCTGCTAAGCATGTTTGTCAGAAAAATATAGTCATGAAGATGGACTAGGTAAAAAGAAAAAGAAATGCATATCTTGCTCGTTTGTGTTCGAAGTTGCGTTCCCCGTGCTATTTCGAGTTTTATCCCGAAACTTAATATGATATTTCTTTTCTAAATTGCTATTCCTCTTATAGTACTACAAAAGTTGTTTAATTTTGAATGAGACATCGACCGAACCTAAATCGCCTCATGATTAGATACGATATTACTACTGTACAATTTCGAATCAATGGTTGCCATTCCGTTCTCACAGGGTAGGTTGATTCTCGCTCCACAATAAGTATAAGATAATGTAGGGCCTGGAGCCAGTGTGTTTACAAAGTTTATCTGTTTGTGCCCAAAACAAAACGAATTCTATTTTTTGTAGAGGGTTGCAGACATCTTAATAGGGAAAAGGGACGTTCTTTTGGTCAGAATAAAACCGAACAAGTTGAGAAATTATTAAAAGGAAATTAAATCGAACTGCAACTTCTGATCGAAAAGTGTATTTTTTTTTTACAAAATGGCAGGTTCAAGAGTTTTGTCACAAAACAAGAACAAGAACAAAACAAAACAGCAGTCAATCGCTCATTAACCCTAAAAGGGCCGGGCGGAAACCGCCCCCCCCCCTCAACTTTTTCCGCGATAACCTTTAAAAAAAAAAATCGCGACCCGAGCTGTTATAAATGACTGTTTAGCCTCGAACCTTGCACATCTTTTGATACCAAAAACATAAAATTCGGACGAAAATTTTTACGGCGCTGCTCGCCGTGATCACTGAATTTTCCCTTATACGTCGTGTACACAGAGCAGAATTACCATTCGTACATATGAACAATGAATAAGCCATAATTCCAAAACCCTTTGAACTATAGTCATGACATTTCTTGGGTATGTCAATGATGAGTTGCTCTATGCATGTACTGAGTTTCAAAATTTTTCGTTACTCGATGGTCAAAATAACTTGGCCCTTTTAGGGTTAAGCCTACTGGGGTTTTATTTATTCAAATATTCCATAATGGCCAATAATGATAACACTACGAGCAACATCAAATTACTTATAACGAGCATCTTTGTGTGGTTACTATGGTTACTTTAGGCCTAAGCATATTGATCTGTGGGGTGCGAACCACCTTTTCATTTATTGAAATACTGACATTCAAATGAAGCTAAACTGTTTTTTCATCCCATAAGAAATTTCAGAATATTCAAATTTTGCATCGATCATTTATCATCATTATTAACCTTTACTACTATTTTAAAGGTGAATGAAAATAACTAAGGGCGGTTAAAAATAACAAATATATTGGCTATAATTTAATCATTACAAGCATAATTGTCAAAATTGAAATCGAAAATGGAAAGATTACAACAACAAAAAATCGGATTTTTTCAAAGGTAATTGCATTTGCAAACATTCACATTATGAAATAGCCTGTAATGTATTGTAAGTAAATGATAGTATCACCATATAGGGAAAAAATCATAGGCTGTAATTTTCAAGAAAACAACGAACTTGAATCAATACTAACAATGGTTTAGTCCAAACAATCACTGTGAAAATGGCTTTGTTTCGAGTACATCTGGCTTTGTTTCAAATAGCTGACGCAATCAACCCAGTGCGTCCACTGGGTAATGTAGGTAAAACTGTATTTTTTCCTGCAGGAGGACACAATTGCATGGCTTGTGAGCCATGACTTGTGTGCAAAACAAATTCAACGAACTGCACTTTGATGGTCGAACAAGAAGAGCATTTTTTGTCCTCGATGTTAATAGGTCAGAAACAGTTATACGATGTTATGTCACAAAACACACACCCAGACAAGTGTGTATTTGCCTGCAATCGGGGACCCCTTATTGTCCCACTTTTGTTTGTGCTTTAACTTTTTTGGAAGGTCTCCCATATAAGATCACCAATTGGGGACTTTCGGGAATTGGGGACCCTGTATTGTTCTCTATTGGTGAATGCAGAAACAAACTCACATACACAGGACACGCAACTAAACACAGGCTAGAAAACACGAGCTGGTGTGAGACAATACCATAAAACTCAGTTCATTGTATGAATATGAATCGAGAGGAAATGAGCTTTGGGATTTTTAAAACAAATATGGTGATAAATATTCAGGAGTTGGTGATAATATTCAGGAGTCATCTAGGCTGTTGCAGTACAAAGTGCCACTTTGAATAACACTTTTTTTGGACAACGTCGTTCTGTTAAATTGGCCACACTGACATTTTTTGCGTAGTGCTTCGGGTATTATACAAAGAGGTTAATGTAAAGAAGAAGTTGTGAGTACTTTGTTGCATTTGGATGGGGAAGCACCCCCAGTCAGAATTGAATAATCTAAATATGGCAGAACAAAACAAGATTGTATTGGGGAGGTAATATTGTAAACGGTTCATTAACAAATAGTTTATTAGTTAAAGCCATGTACTAATTGTTTTAAGTTCAACATTAAGATTGAACTAATAAAGCAACATAAACGTTCGTGTGAGTAGGCCTATAAATAAACGTGTGTCATCGGCAAGTAAAGCGTATGTCAATGTTTCATTTTGAAAAAGAACGCACCATTGCCCAAACGTACTGGTCTTTCCACAATTTTACACAAAATGGACAATGCTCACTCTTTCAGCATACACATGCACATTGAGATCGTCCTATTAGTGGATGTGCATGTTTCCCTGGCAACACTTTGCCTAATAAATTACTGGTATTCCAATATGTGTCTAGCACTGAATTTCGTTGGGCTGATACCCGAGTTTTGTTGTCGCCAAAATTCAGGCGTGTGTGAGTTATTCTGCTGAAGAAGGGGCTCGTAATATGATTGTGTTTTCATGAAATATCCAAATCAAGCTTGCAGTCAATTCCAACATAAAGAAAATTCAAATGGATTGTCTTCCACTTTTAAGTGTTGCAGTGCACAAATCAGTGGCAAACGCTGCCGATTTGTTTAAGCCGGAGCGTGACAGGATGGCAAAATACTTAATTAAAAGACAGCATCCAAAACTGTTTTATATCTCTTTATCTTTCACACAGTCGAATATAAGACAGCAGGCGCAGCTAACCAGGCGTAAATATTGCTGGTGAGTTCACGGCCACCGTGTTATGGCGTTTTGTCTCTAGTGCATTGTTGCTTTTAAAGGCACCTCAATAATTGTTAATGGACCTCGAAAGCTTTTGCCGGCGAGAATATCGATTAGGAGGAAACAATGTGTCTAATGCTTTGATGGCTGCGCGCTTTCGTTGAGGACGAGGCGACAATCTAGTTCTTTTATCTCAATTTAGCTGTTGATACAAGCCAGCGAGGTTGACTGCACGACCATGGCAAAATGTAACAAAAACAATGAACCATCTCTTAATCCCACTGAACTAACGGAACTGCATGACCAAATAAAGCTATACTGGGAGCCGAAGTTCGGAATTGTATGAAAATAAAATAAACTGATCAAGAACAAAACAAGCCAAATTAACGGACGAATCTCTCTTATCATTAAGTAAATTTAGTTAATGAAAAAAAAACGAACTCAAATTACGCTCAGTCAGCCTTTGTGG